TTGGTCTTTGCGATTATCGTCTGTTTGCGGCGAAAGCGCTGCCATCATTATTCTGCCTGTAGTAGGAACCTAGGCTTATCTAGGAACCAAAGAAGGAGTGTACCGCTTCACAGTGGCGGAGATAAAGCGTGTACTGTGCTGCTCAGTCAGTGCTCAATTCCTATTGGTAATTGCCACATCGCTTCGCTCATTATTTGCATAAAGTTAACTCCAGTTGTCAGTTTCACAGAGAGAGGTTTGTTTAGACACTGCCTGTGTTATTTCTCTCTGCTACGCACTGTTATGATAGCTTTACTGCACAGATTGCCATTAATTTACATGAGTGGAATCGAAAATGAATGCTGATGTGCTTTGGAACTTCAGGTCACCTCAAAGTGACTCGCTGCAATAAAAACCAGTGAACCGTGACGATGGTCCCGGTGGTTAGCTGAATTATTATTATTTTTATTTTATTTATTTATTTTTTTTTAAAGAAAAAAAAGAAATTATTCCCATACCAGACAGACAGTACATAAGGCAAAATAACAAAGTGAGACGAGACAATCCAAACAAAAAAAAAAGGAGGTGTAGTAATAATAGTAGTAATAATAATAATAATAATAATAGTAATAATGACAGACAGGCAGTATACAAAGTAAATAAATTAGTAAGATATATGTATACACATATACACACACACATTCAACATCTTTGTACATAAAATACAATAGTCTATTACAGCAATAATAAGTAGGCAACATTGCTTTGCTGTGCAGAAGAAAGGGAGAGCCAGGTTGCCCCTGAGGACCCCCACCAACCGTTTTCTGTCTCCTCCGTACTCTTCGTCTCTCTTTCCCACCCCTGGTTAGCTGAATTATAAAAACACTCCTCTAATGACGAGAAACGCCTTTTTTCAATGTGGAAAGCACGTGGACGTAGCTTTGGAAATCGCTTGCAAGCTGAAGTTTTTCCAGCAGGGAGCGCAGATATCTGCGGCAGAAGAAGCTTGAGATTTTCATTAAAACAATTAATATTTAAAAAAAAAAAAGCATGAAGACTAAAATAGAACAGAAAGCAAATCAAAGCTGCCACAGACGATTTTTCGCTAATTGTGATGACTAGACAATATTGTAGTAGTTATTTCTAGATATCGCTCAGGCCTACTTCCCAGTCAGTATGTAGAATATATATGAAGCTGCTGATTCCAGTTTGCATCCCTAGTCAAAACAGGTCTCAGCTCAGCAAAAAGGGGAAATTCTACTAACGTTAATTTCTCTAACCTGCAGGTGAAGAGCAGAACAATGTTGTTTTTCTACAGCCTAACAAATAAGGATGTGGTTGTGAGGAGGGTTTGTACTGCTTGGAATCTGATGTCAGCATGAAAGTGAGTCGCAGCAGTGATCACATGAGTGCATGTACAGAATCACTGTAAACTGTATTGTTTGGCATGACCTGATCTCAGGTATTCACTGAACGCTCTGTGGGTGTTAAGTCACAGATGATCATATAGCCTGATAAATACTGGGCATGTCTGTGGAGTTTGTCACTGAAGTAAAACACCACAGTTAAAAGAATGGTTTGGCAAAATGTCCAATTTTCCCAACTTCCCGCTTCCGCCAAATCCAAGCCACGACATGTTTAGTATGTGAGGTTTTTGTAGTTTTGCGCTGGAGTAACATCATCACTGCGCCCAGCCTACCTGCATTTGTCGTTTTGGAGAAATAAACATTTGTGGCAAGAGCGCAACTTCAGTGCTCTTCACTGGCACTAAAGGTTAATGTGTGGCCTGTAAGCTGCTTTTCTTTGCACATGAAACTTGTGGTGTTCCAAACATTGTGGTTCTGCAGCGGTGAGACGAGCTCTGGGGAGACCTACTTTCACATGCCGATGTGGTTCTGAAATTAGAAGAACAAGTGGTAGTGGGTGGGGAAAGTTTGCAGGGGGCTTGAAAGTGGTTTAATTGCTTGTGACTTTGCTGAGCTTGGAAATGTTTTTAGTTGTCAATATAGGCATTGTATACACAGATTAATCCCCATTAGCCTATTTCCTCACTTGTTTTTTGTTAATAACGTTGACAGGGGTGGGCGATATGGCAAAAATGTTAAATCACAGTACTTCAAGACATTTTCACGATACACGATGTGCATCACAATAAGTAGTTATTCTAAAATATATAATAAATTGGAACAGACAAAATAGAACCTGTAGTTCCACAAATAAAACTGTAATGATAATAAATTTACACCCACAGTGTTTTTTATTCAGTGTTTTTCAAACTGCACTGTACTAAATTCAGTTAAACAGGCCTTATTATGCTTACTTTGGAATGAACCATGTATTTAGTCAGTACTGGTGATGTCCACCATATGCTCAGAGAAGCATATTGTGTTGTAATTTATCATGTTAACGATAAAATATCATCACATTGCCCAATTCTGTTGGCAATAAAGATACATACGTGTGTGTGTGTATGTATGTATGTATATATATATGTATGTGTGTGTGTGTGTGTGTAATATACAGGGTGATTCAAAAATATTCATCCGATTTCAAAACGCCATATTTTTACAACCGTGAGGTGCCTAGGAACCAATCACATACCAATTGAAAGAGGTGGTCGTAGAGTTTCTGACTCGTCGAGGGATGGCTCCCATCAGTCTGCAAGGAGATTATTGGGTGTATTTGTGACCTATCAGTCAAACCAATAGCTTAGGAAGAATTCCAACTGGGCTAAGTCTGAAAGCAAAGTTTAAAGAATCCGAGGACGCAAACCAAAGAAGTGACCACGCCCTTTTTACAGCAAGCTCGAACACATTCTGGGTGATGAGCCCAGCTGTCAGTCAGTGAAGCTTCACGATCGCTCCTGTGACGCTGGCGAAGATGAAACTGAAAGCTCTGGGAGTAACTGGTGTTCATTCATAGTCAGGATTCTTTACCTCCGGATGAGCAACGTGACACGTTGTTCTTTTGCACATGTGGGTCAGTTTAGGAGCTGATCTGTTCAGACTGATGTCGCAAATAGGTCACATTTAAAAGATACTGTGAACAGCCAAACAAAAAAATCAGATTTGGTGAGGAAACCAGATTTGGGCCACTTTTACCTGTTGTATGAACATAGCCTTAGCTTAGAGTGGACATGGTGGAGTCCCGTGACTATACACGTGGTAGTAAGTTTTTAAGGGGTCAGTGCATGAACACACAGAGTGGGGAAAGGATTTACAGAATAAAAAAAAATCTAAATAACCGACATGGGCAAGATTACGTTGGTTAGAGGTTCTGAATGTCGGTTTTGATTACTTTTTGATTAATTGCCCAGCCCTACTTTCCACGAAATACTGGCATTACAGATTTTTTGCCATGAGCATTTTCAGTGCTGCTTGTCAACCCATACTACCGATGTGTTTCGTCTTTGTCTACTAGCACACGTGCATCAGAAATTGCTTCGTAGTATTGGTCATAGCTATCAGAATCCCCAACACCATTACCGATACTGCATACAAGTGCTTAAATGTTTAAGGTACGGAATTGGTATCATTGCAACCCTGTTGGCAAAGAATCTTGTTAGTATTTAGTTTGCTTTAGTTGGTCTGTACTTCTCATTTACATCAACTGACGGAAAGAGGGAAAATACCAGTGGCAGAGACTACAGTGCAGGGTTATGCACGACTCACATAGTCAAAATAATGGGAACACCTCACTTTAACATCATCTGAGAAAGACAGGTTTCTGTAAATTGTGTAAAAAAAACTAAGCTCACCTGGCACAGAAGCTCAACTGTCATGGGGGAGCATCTAGAGGAAAACTGATTCATGGCAGAAAATGGCATAGTGAGTAACATCTGAAACCTCAGTGAAACTGTGGTCAAAAGTTAAAAACAGAATGTTGTTGTCTGCTTTTTAGATAGCTTCCTATTTATTTTAGCATTATAAACACAATTGACTAAAGGAATGACCTGCGTTTTCATCTAAACTGCACTAAAGTATACTTTTCCGTTGTCAGAGTGTTTGTACGCTAATGCACACAGACCTGCTCGCCCTCACAGATGTTTTTTGAAACCCTTTTTCTCTGTGCTTTGGTCTCCCACTCATGTAAAGACTTTTATTTTAGGTTTCTAGAAAATCTTCTACAGGGTAAACATTTTTAAAAGTCTTTTTTTTCTGTGTTTTCATCTGGATGCATATTTTTGAACATCACATGCGTGTTCATTGCTGTTTCAAGTCTGTGTTCATGTTTTAAGATACTGCGTGTCTGACATTCATTATTCTGTGTTAATTTCAGATTTGAAAATAATGTTATTGACCACACCAGCTAGTTTATTTATTTTTGTTTGATGGTTAAGGGAGAAACCATTTGAATAGCACTGCAGAGTTTTTGTAGAATCAAACTACCTCCATAATAGTGCTTGGACTGCCACGTAAAATTTGTTTATGCATTGTTTTTTTACTATTTGTGCACCTTTCACATGGAGTAAATTGGTGCTTTTGAGGGCATGAAGAAGATCTGTGGTGTCCTTGATAGCTGTGAAGTGTTTAAAACAAAATGAAATCTTATTTCTGTCTTTATGTGATACGTTTTACCTTGTCATTTATTCCTCTGTGAAGAACAGCTTATTTTCTGTGTGCTAATGACCAAGCTTGAATTGACAAGTAGTTTTTTTATATCCCCTATAACTGTAAAATTTCACATTTGTTGTATTGATAAATCAGCAGTCATTGGCAATTTGTGTTATATGCAAATTTCTAATGATTGTACTGATCTGTATGGTATTAAACAGAGGTTGATGGACATTTATTTGCATAATAATGAAGTTCCTTAAGGGCTTAATTGTTTATCTTTTTTCCAAAAAAGTATTGAATTGCAGTAGATTAATCAGTAGATTAATCAGTAGATTGCTTGATTACTAATATAATCAGTAGTGAAAGCAGTAGAAATGTGCTTTGAAATGATTAAACTGATAAGGAGGATAGATTAGCAGAAGACTGTTGATTATGTTTACATTGTGTCACTGATGTGTTCTGTAGGTGGCTGCTGTGGGTCCGACCAGAAGACCTACACAGTGGGAGGATGGGCCTGGGCGTGGTGGCTTCTGACCGATATACAAAAGTAAGAACCTTTTGTTAAAAGTGCAGTTTGTCACCCTTATCTATGTGCTGTCATTTTTAAATCTTAAACTCTTGGGTAAAGTTGAGCTTTAAACCCATAGAGCCATGCTTTTTGCACAGTACCTTTTTATTTTGTTTTGTTTTATGCTATGTTGTTCAGTTGCATCATGCTGCTATTATTATTATTATTATTATTATTATTATTATTATGCATTCATCCGCATTATCCCTGCATCCATTTTTTAGTCAGCAAATATTGACAAACCCCTAGTAAATGTTAGGAAGTGTCTGGCTACACACGGTTAGACCATACAAAGCAGCCAGGAAGCTTTTTTTCCCTCATCATTGAAGCAGTAGTTGAGTAGCAGGAGAAGTTAGTGTGATCAGCAGTGAGCAGAAGCTAGTAATGCTGGGTATTAAATTTTTTTTTTTTTTAATTATGCTGACCTAATTATTTACTCAGTAAATAAACAGAATACCAAAACGTCCATATCATTCAATACCAAACTTAAATACTGAAGTATTCCGTCTTTTCAGAGCCAGTAAACCAATAAGAATGCTTATTCCAAAATCTAGAGTGGTGATTGGTGATTAGTAACCTGTTCATGAAATGACAAATACCAAATACAAGGAGTCAGAATCCGAGACTGCTGGGTACAACACTGTGACCGAAACTTTTGTGATAGATATTTTTGTAGTTGGCAAAAAAAGCTTAAAAACATTTACAACATTTATACAAAGAATACATATCATGTAATTTATTTAATAAAGTGTCAGTAAAAGTTCAGGAATCAGTATTGAAGTCAAGGAATTGCTATTGGCACCAATATCAGAACATTTAGAGCGATACCCAGCCCTCAGTTGATGGAGTGTTAAGAGTTTGAGAGCTGGAGCCAGTCCAGACCCCCACAGATAGTGTATACACACACTTCATCAGCACATCGGCTCGCTGCTCTTCCCACACACACTCACCAAAGTGTGGAAAAACAAACACTATTAATATTGCCGCAAGGTCTGATGGAGTTCAGCCTCGGTTTAAAGCCCAGTCACACTAGATTCTATCAGTACCTTTTCGCAAGTGAAAATAGTATAATAATATAATTGTGTTTGAAGTTTCATTTAAGGTTCAACTTTGTTGAGCTTTGATGCTCAAATTCATGTCGTTGACCGAGAGCACAGTTGCTTTGGCTGAAGGGATGGTACTTCATACAGCAGCACTGAAGACGCGAAATGAAGGAAACACTCAGTCTACACATGATTTTTTCTGCATATCCTAACAGCCAGTCACAAGGCAAACAACATAATTGCTACATCGAAAGTAAGAGACAACAGTATATCTGGCACAATGAGTCCTGAATAATTACGGTGGGACATTTTGGGTTTGGTGGAGCAGCAGCATTCAAACACAGTGTGAGTGCTCGTACCCACGTACTTTTTGTCATAAAATTTCAACACATTGGCCAAAATAAAAATATTAAATTGCCAGAAATTTGCGATTTATGCTGGACTCAAATTGTACACCACTAATCTTTATTTCTTTAATCTTTACTGTTGTGTTTATTTCTGTTTATGGTTTTCAAGTTACCCAGCTTGTTTATCACATGTTAACCACCATTTTCTAGTGTAGTGTGACTGTAGCTTTACTTGGACTGGCCTTCCAGCTGTAGCCTTAAGCTAGTCCTAGCTAGACCAGATATGGCTGCTAAATAGGTTTTAATCAATGATAATGGTAGTCCATGCCCAGGGCCCATATTCATAAAGTGTTTTGGAGTGATAGTGTTAATTGTTTTGTGTGAAATGCATAAACTGATTCCAGATCAGATTTTTTACTTTGATAAGTTTAATAAACATGGATGCAGGCCTAATCTGTGTATGAGACACTACCATAGTACAACAAGCATCTGCATAAAGGGGGTGAATCAATAATATATAGCAGGAATCAGGTTATCTCTCTAACTAGGAGAGTATCTTTTTTTGCTGTCAACAGCCAATCCTTAAATGATTTTCTGCATATCTTCTGTATTTTATATGTATCACAGATAGAACATGCTTTCATGACTGTTATGATTTATTGAAATGTTCCTATACACGACCGCTGAATCTGAAATATTTCCACTTTTCTGAAGTTTCTCTAAATGCCTGCTAAATGTCTTCCTCTTTGTGCCTTGCTAACCTGGCTTGCTGTATGTTTGACTCACCCTTGTCTCTCTCTCTCATGCGCGTTCGCTGGGATCCTAGGCTTACCGCTCGGTGAAAGAGATCTTTGTGGTTCACTGTGCTAAAAAAACAGCAGAATGGAATGTGTTGAAGGTTAACAGTGAGGCGGAAGGTGGCTTGAATGACTGAGAAGCATCATATGCATTCGTGGAATTCCATATGGCAGACAGTGCTGGGTGATCTTTTTCATCTGTATTGATTAGAGATGTCTCAATCCAGGTTTTTTTGTACCCCACCAAAATCAGAGTACTTTCATTTTTTGTTTTCATAGATAATACAGTCGCATAATTTGGTAGAATAAATTTTTAATATGTGCATAATGTAATGTGGTGATTTGGCTACCTCTTTCTTGAACATTTTGGAGTTAATCACTTTAAAAAGTTTTAAAAACTTTTAAAATGACTTTGAAAGTTACATTTTTGATATGCACACATGGTATACACTCTGAGCTTACTGTCGGAAATAAGTAAAAATAATTAGCTGTTTCTGCTAATGGCGGTCTTAAACCGGAAGCAGAGTGATGGAGCCAGTAAATTAGAAAATTTCCAGCATAGTTTTGTTTTCAACTGGTTGTGAGTCATGAGTGGAAAAATCCATACATCCTTCTGATTGCATGGCATTCACAGCAAGTGGCAGAAAATTTCTGGCTTACATTTTACATTCCAGGCGAAATGTGGCTCAAACACAGTTGAAACAGTATCACTGCTGATAGTACAGGTTTTATATTCGACTGTAAATTAGTTTTATAGTGCAGACATTGAGATCACTTTGTTTACTTCTGAAAATGCACCTCACTGCTTCAGTTTGTGGATAGCGCTCATTTACAGCACCTCTACGACTGGAAGTAGAATGCAAAAACCAAGAAACATAAGATAGGAATTTGATGATATCTGATCCATTAAAATCTGCATGGATTGAATCTGGGCATCCCTTGTATTGATAGATAACAAAAAAACTTCACTGCAGTGTGAAGGATTTAGTCTCTGGTTTTGTGTAGAACTTTTGCTGTGTGGTTGTGGTGCCTCAGCAGAGTGGAGAGCATGGAAAGCTGAGCTTGTTCCTGGTTGTGCTGAGCTACTGAGGCCTCTGTTTTGGGTGGGGCTGAAAGCCCCTTCCTTCCCCGGTCTCCCTGCCTGAGAGAAGCAATCTGCTTAGTGGCTGCTGTTAGTGTCACACTGATGTAATTAGTCAAGATGGAGTAGAGGAGAGAGAGCCTGTGCTTGGCTCATTGCTGTAGCGGATATAAAAGACGAGGCTTTAGAGCAGTGGTCTGCACGATATTAGATCGTTTCAGCAACAACAGCAGAAGGAACGTTTATGGTGGCATGAGTGAATTTTACTCCGAGCCAGATAGGGACACAAATTCCTTAAAAAGAAAATGTGATGCAAAAAAAAGAACACAAAGTAAGTGAAACTTACGTCATCTCCATTCCACCAGCGTTGGAGCTGTTGCTTAGTGACTTGCTTCGCATTGCTTCGTGGTTTACAAGGCTACAGCGCTAATGCGCATTTATTTCAGGTTGCTGGGGCTTTCCTTACAGTCCTTGATGCTTAATTTTCGTATTCTTACAACAAGTACAGCCTCAGCTTTGTTTAAATGCATGTTTATTTGATGTTAAGGAGTGCTAATATTGATCTTTGTAGTTTTATCACATCTGTAAGTTTTATCTAACATCACATTAAGTGTTTGTATTGGTCTTCCACGTTAAACGTAAGAATTGCCTACGCTGATGTTGTTTATATACATACATGATCTGTTTCTGAGAAAAACGTCATGATACGAAATAAAACGTCTCCGCTGTAGCAGGCCTAACGAAATGTTGCTTTTATTTAACATCTGTTAAAGCCAGCTAGGCTACCTTAGCATCTGTTAATTAGCTAATGCTGAATTTTCAACTAGAGGACATCATACCACTTTTTCTTTTCCAGTACACATACAGTATTGAAACCCTTAAATATTGGCTGATATTGATTCCTTAGTTATCATTTGAAATATTAACTCAGTATTTACTGAGTTAATTCTTTTGAAAATGTAAATTAATAATAAAAAAAATACATTTTTAACCAGATTTGGTGGCCGTGAGAGAGAAATTCCCACGTTTGTTTTCTTATAGACCACTGCTCTAAAGAACTAATTTGTTTAACATGGATCAATCTTTGGTACGGTTCACACTGGAAGGTAATGAATTGAAAATACTAAAAACAACATGTATTTTAAATACACATTATGTCTGTTTGCATAACAGCAAAGCTCTCTTTTATAGAAAGTCACATGCAGCACTCATGGGAGTCTTCATGAGCTCTTGGTGTGCGTTTGAGTCATTCATGCCACAGATCAAGTGGCCTGATGAAATGAGAGTTCAGTGAAGTATCAGTAAGAACTGTGATGTGAACCCCAAGCAGTCTGTCTAAACTCAGCACTGTTTGGTGATTCTGTCAGCATTAGGCTCTGGAGATGTGCAGGATTTCTATGGCTTGTGGAATAATGGCCTTATCATAGTTTATAGTTGTGATGCTGTGTAGCAGTGCATGGATTTGAAAGCTGGCATCCCTAATAATTGAGCTACCAGCAGTCTTACAGCAGTTTGTAGTTTGAAATAGTTACATTACATTTTACATTTACATACAAATACTTACTCATGCAGAAGCACCTCAACCTCGTCAGCCATGAAGCACTCTTGGTCCTGCCTCTCTAAATGAGTCATTTTCACCCAATTATTTTTATTCATTTGTTTTATTTATTTGTTTTTGGGGCAAAGCACATTTAGATGCACCTGTGCTTAT